ACAATGAGCTGGGCCTCAGTGCTAGATATGGTAGCTAGTTTGAAGTGCGCGTAGATGAGTGGCATGGTCAACAACAGTGGGGAACGAAACAAGATCCAGGAACAGCATGGGGAAGATCAGACGGCCAGCTGAGGTGGAGAAGGGAGAGGAATAGCGCGTGATGACTGCATCTAAGTATTGCTTCGCATTCGCTACAGTAGTAGAGCGGGGACGGGGGGAGGGGCGTGACTAACAGCAAGCTGTGCTACCGCGTCACACGACTCCCAGACAGCGCGGGCAAGCTCAGCAGTGGCAAAGGCCTCACGCTCAAAAGACGTGGGAGCGTTAGGGAGGGCAGCAGGCGTGGCGAGGCAGAGAAGCTTACCGCCGACATGGACGGCCAGGGAGTAGCCGTCCGGGCGCTGACCTGTAAGCTGACGGCGGAGGTCGACGAGCCATGCCGCAAAGTCGATCGCCCGACCCTCCGCATCCAGGCGGAGCACAGCGTCCGCCATCACTACGGCCACAGTAGCTGACAACGGCACCGCGGCACGACGGCCCGGCGGCACGGCGACACAGCGACACGGCGGCACGGCGACACAGCGGTACGGCAGCACGGTGGCATGGCAGTACAGTAGCACGGCAGCACGGCAACACGGCAGCACAGCAGCACGGCGGCACCGCGGCATGGCGGGAAAAGGGGCCGGCACAAACTGGGGCCAGCTCGAACCGGTGCCGGTGTTAGCAGGGGCCGGTGCAGACTAGCGGGGCCGGTTCGGAGGGACGGGGCCAGCACGAAATGGCAGGGCCAGCGCGAACTAGTGGGCCGGCGCGAAGTGGCGGGGCCGGCACGGGCTAGCAGGGCCGGTGCGGACTAGCGGGGCCAGCACGGACTAGCGGGGCCGGCGCAAAATGACGGGGCTGGCACGAACTAGCAAGGCCAGCGCTAACTGACGGGGCCAGCGCGGAGTGACACATCCTGCGCGAACTAGCAGGGGTGGTGCGAAGCGGGGCCGGCGCGAACTGACGGGGCCAGCGCGAAACGACGGGGCTGGCGCGAACTAGCGGGGCCGGCGCGAACTAGCGGGGCCGGCGCGAACAGACGGGGCCGGCCCGAACTGACGGTGCCTGCGCGATGTAACGGTGCCGGCGCGAAGTGACGGGGCCGGCGCAAACTAGCGGGGCTAGCGCGAACTAGCGGGGCCGGCGCGAACTGACGGGGCCGGCAAGAGTCAAAGAGCTGAAATTAACACGCTGGAATTCACTGTAGTTGGGCAACAAACAAGTAAACCTAAAGGGACAGCTACAGCGAACCTCTGAAAAAATAATACGGGTCACACGATTGCTGTTTTACGAAGTGGCTCGATTTTCTGAACACTGTCAAATCGATTGCGTATACACTGCATGCATGGTGTAGTGTTCTCAGCATTCTGGTTTTGGGCATTAAATACTTTCTCGAAGCGAGTGTATTCAATTTATTTCTTACTACCCAAGTCCGGGGGGTCAGAATTGGGTACCTTTATCGATTTGTCTCGAGACAGGAACTCATTTTCGGTCCCCTCACAGGTTGGTTGTGGGGGATGGATTCCGTTAGTTCTGAAATAGAGGTACCAGGGCCGTTCAAACAGCGGTTTCAGACGGTCCTTCAAAAGACACTCCAGACAAGCGTGGTACCACCTCCCCACCAACCTTGACGAAAGTCACGACTGTAATTTGTGTCACCTGTGTCGCATGCGTGAACATTTCAAAAGTAGGGGACTGCGGCTGAGAGGTTGTCATAACCAACTGTCATGTTTGCCAGCTTCGTCGTCTTTCGCGCCTTCGCCAATTTTTGGTTTGGTCAAATGTTCAGAGGTTTGGTACCAGGTTGGGACTCCGAACCTACCTCTGTTCGGAGAACAGAGGTATCAACTGTGTTCGGCGTTTTCCCTTTGGCCCATTTCTGCAAGCGGACGGAAGTCTGGCAGACATTGAAACGGGGGAAGGTGGCCTTGAAATTTCGAGAAGTAGGTGGCGAGGTCCGGCTGCCGGACGTGCTTGTGCAATTTCGCCCAACGGATGGCGAAGGCATGTGATTCCAAGTCACGCCCATATGCAAACCACCAATTTGGTGGTTTGCTGACGGAAGCGAGTGGGGTTTCTGGTTTGCCTGACGGGGAAAGGTAGTCAGGTGAGTTCGCCCTGGTTGATTCTGTCGATGGCTGTGGGCATTCTGCCGGCACTCTGATTCCGCTAGGCTCGGCACAGAATCACTAGGTTTGACCGTTTCTTTTTTTTACTGCCCAGACAGCCGAACCTAATTTCGGTGAGTTCTGGCCTGCTGGCGGAAGATGCCTTAGACGGAATCACCTGCCCGCAAAACGAGACCTTCGTGTTTTCGTGACTGAGTCACGTGATTGAGGCCCTGTTCTGTAGGCATTGATTTGATATGATATATTGTCAAATCGGAAATAGCCCGGGCTATTTCCAACATTGCCGAGTCAACGAAACAGCGGGGCCCAAAAAGCGAAACAACAAGCATCTGAAATCGCGGCTTAGCAATGAGGAGGAAACAATTTTCGGTACTGCCCCAACTAGGCCTACAGCCGCAGAAAAAATGTGAGGAATGCGTGAACTATGCGTGTGTGTGGGGTATAGATTTTTTGGTAGGGGTTTTGTCGCAACCGTTACCGACTATTTTCTGGGCGTCTACGTGCTGCCCGGCACAACTTGTTCATCGCTCATCAAGCTTTCGGAGGTCGGTTGCAGATTTGACGAGTAGTTCAGCTGCTCTGCCCTCTAAGCGCAATTTATCGGAAGCACCCTGTTTGACAACTCGTCATTCGGACATTGGTGTTCTGCAGGTTTTCGCTGAACAATTAATCAACCTAGGTTTGGCGTGCTCCGAGCCATGAGCTCTTATCACCGAGCCTCGATAAGTAGACTTGCACTTATCACCGAAGCTTCATGAGCGCGAATAACTTGCCGATGATCGAGAGCCACTGGGAATAAACATCTAGGAAGCAGGAACAAAATGGGGCAAGTGGGTCAAGAGGGGTTCATGTGCCACTGACACCTACCCCGAACGCGACCCGACCGACATGCGCATGGGGGGGAAAGGGGGGAGGAGGGGGGGGGGGCTAAACGAAAGCACGAGCCCCCCTACGGAAACCTCGCCTCTGATTTGGATTTATTTGAACGAGACTCGCCACTGTAGACGGGCTCGGCATTGGGGAAACCGCGAAATTCAGGCCACAGTTTGACCTGGCATGGTTTGGGAAGAAGAGCATATCCTGCTGGTTGCCCCTGGTGATGAGTGTATGGATTTTTTTTTTTAATTGCCCGATTGAGAGGAATCAGCCTGTATGCTAGGGGGCATGAATCCAAATCACACATCCTGCCTTTATTCGCAAATACCGCTGCGGAACCCATCTACCGATGCGGGAGCTGGATGTTTTTCTGTACCAAACATCCAGCGTTGGCTAGGTTAACAAGCCGTGCGTCTGGTGCTAGGCTCGACCACTTTTTTTTTTTTTTTTTTTTTTTTTTTCAGTTTTTTCGGCTCTGCCCGCGGTGTAGAACCCTAGCTCGGGGCCTTCTAGCCTTAGCGAGGAAGGTTCGAATCTTCATTCTATACTCAAAGAGTGGCTCCCAATCATCAACTTTGTCAAACGTTCCCGCAGAACAGGGCCTGAGCGGGCGTGTATGTACTGTACCACACCCTGAGAAAGAGCAACTTTGTAAAGAAAACCCCTTTTCCTTATCGAGCCTCATTAACATCGAGTACAACCCCGACTTTCGGAAGTCCAGGCTCAGGGTGACAGTTCAGATTCGAACTAAGTTCGAGACCCCAAGCCTGCACGTGGCGTCGCATCCGACACTTCCGAGTCCCGAGGCGCCCCGAACCACCTTGCGTGTGTTTCATGGCCTTCCTCGAGGCTCTCTTGCTAGGCTAGCTGTACTTGTATTTATCCTTGTGCTTCTTTTGTATTCGACACACTTTAATGACGACCTCACTATTGCATTACTCGACTCCTATCCGGAGATTATCATAACATGTGATATCAGAGCTATGTTCCTGCACATTTAGGTTTCCGTAGTGAGGTAGTTTTTAGAGGGACCTCGCACGTTAGGAGATAGGAGTTGTCCAGTGGTCATGCAGGAACTTCTTCAGTTCCGCCAAATTTGTCATGTGTGCTCCACGTCTCTAACGCTGCAGGTGCCCGTAGTGGTCAATAGCTCTCCTCGCCGTAGTACTAGAAATATGACTCCTGAGCAAATAGCTGAGTTGTCAGAGGCGGCAGCAAGCGCATCCATACTGACGATAAAGGTTGGCGAAATTGTGCCGAAGATGGAGGCCATGACCCCTGAGCTCCCTGCGTTGAAAGAGGAGACGCGAGCCTTTGCCAGACGCATGGTGCGACACGTCAGGAGTCGCTTGTTACCGTGGACGAAGATCGTGCGAGCGCGCATCAACTGCAGACGACGTCAGCGACACGTGACGACAGTTCAAGCAAGAGACGGGCATTTGTGAAGATAAAACCTGCCATGCCCCCGCCGTTCAACCCCCTGGAGAAACACACCACACTGAGTGGGTGGCTGTTCGCCATGGAACTGTTCTTCAATGCCGCCGATGTCAACGACGATAAGACACGCGTCAAGTTGCCGGTGTCTTTATTACGCGGACCTGCATTAAATTGGTGGCGACAGTACGTGACGTTACGAGGGACTCCGGCAGACCGGCAACAGGCAATGGACGAGGAGCGACGATTGGCTTCAACTCCTACAGGATCCTTGTTTGGCCGAGATCCTCACCTGGAAACAGTGGGGTGCATTGCTTCGCCGACGCTTCGAGCATGTATCCGCATGCAAAAACGCTCGTGTGAAGCTGCATGGATGGTGTCAACTAGGTTCTGTATTGGAGTACACATCATCTTTCCTCGCCATCTACGATGAAATCGACGATCTACATGAGACGGAGAAGACAAGTCGGTACATCCTAGGGCTGAAACTGGAGGTCCAGCGCGAAATTCGCATTCGCCGCCCGGCGATAATCCTAGAGGTGTAGCAAGTCGCAGGGGCATGGGACGAGAACAGTGTATGGCCGAGGACGAATTTTTGGGAGGGAAGTCGTTTTCGATGGAAGAACAGTTACCCATCCATCAACGACGTGGTGACACCGTCAGATAACATAATTTCTAGCAGGTGTTATAAATGTGGCCAGTCCGGGCACATCATGCGGGACTGTCCGCAGTTGCAGAAATCGGGAGCTAACGACGGAAGGAAGCCAGGAAATGGACAGCATCAGTAGCAGTTGGGCCCCCTACTGATGAGGCTTCATTGCCCAAAGATCACCATTCCCACCGAGTCATAGTGCCGATCTATGCGATCGACCACATCCGGTTAAAGGGGAGTGAACCTGTTGAGTGCCATGTGCTGGTGGAAGGGAACGTTGGCAACACCAGATTAAAAATATTTGTGGATGGTGGAGCATTACACAATCTGTTCGATGTGACAAGAGCGAAGAAACTGCAACTGCAAATGGAGAGGTGCATGCCTGAGATTGACGCGAGGTTGGTCGACGGCACGCCACTGGCAATCTGGGAGCGGGTGAAACACGTTCGCATTGATTGCGACAGCCAAGTCAGTTTCTCCATGAAGATGCTGGCGACAACGTTGGACAGCTGCGATGTGCTCCTAGGGCGTGATTGGCTTTGCACTTACAATCCAAGCATCGATTGGAGGAATTGCGACATTCGTTTGAAATGGGGTGGCGAGTGGCAATGACTGCCGAAGTGGAAACCACCCGACCCTAGTGAACAACGTGACTATCAAGCGTGTAATGGCACGTCGCGTGGACGTCTACGCTGTTCGATGGATCGCATCAACGGAGGTGGCTGAATAGACCGACCTGGAGAAGTTGTGTGCTGCTGTACCTGAGGACTTGGCGAAGGTCAGCGCAAGTACGAGAAGATTTTTCCTGATGACTTGCCACCCGGCCTGCCACCCAAACGACCACACGATAAAAAAATTGAGCTGGAACCTGGCGCACAACCGAACGTCCGATCGCAATGGAGGCTGGGTCAATGGAGCTGATGGAGTTGCATACACAACTAGATTATCTGCTGGAGGAAAACTTTATCCGCCCATCCACATCACCCTACGCCGCGTCGATTCTCTTCAACCCAAAGAAAGACAGAGGCCTATGGACAAGTACCAATTATCGAGCGCTCAACAACATCACTATAAATTCCGTTACCCGATTCCGCGAGCCGACGATCTCATCGACCAACTTCGCGGGGCCAGGATTTTTTCCAAGATTGATCTACAAGGAGGTTACCATCAGATTCGTGTCGCTGAAGCTGATATTCCGAAGACTGCTTTTCGAACCCGTTATGGAAGTTACGAGTATACACTGATGCCGTTTGGGCTGACGAACGCACCCTCCACTTTTCAACTAACCATAAACAAAGTCTTCCGCTCGCTACTGGACAAGTGCGTCATCGTCTACCTGGATGACATCCTGGTGTACAGCACCTCGCGGGAACAACATTTGATGGACCTGGAAGCAAATTTTACCCTCTGCAATCAACACTGACTCATTACCAAGGGCTCTAATTGCGAGTTCTTAAAAGAGGAGTTGGAATTCCTGGGCCACGTCATCTCAACCGAAGGCGTTAAAATTGACCCAAAAAAGATCGACACTATTCGCAACTGGTAATTGCCTACAAACGTCAAGGAGTTGCAGAGTTTTCTGGGGTTCGTCAACTACGTGCGCCGCTTTATACTTAAAATGGCGGAGTCAAAAGCCTCGTTAACCGACTTAATACAGAAGGGGGTTTTTATGAGTGGGGGGGGAGGCAGCAAGCTGCGTTTGACCAACTGAAAACTTTCCTCATAACGGCACCCGTTCTTCGTATCGCCGACCCCGACCGCCCATATGAACTGGTTATGGACGATAACGACATCGCCATTGGCGCGGTGCTGTTATAGGACTTTGGCGAAGGCTTGCAGCCAATCGCCCACGTTTCGCGGAAACTCCAAGGCGGTGAACAAAATTACTCGGTTCACGACAAGGAAATGCTCGCGATTGTCAATGCTTTCAAGACCTGGCTGCTACCTCTCCGGTGCCGACGTTACTGTCCGACCAGACCACAAGTCCCTACAGTTCCTCCGAGCCCAACCGACCCTCAATCCACGACAGATTCGTTGGCTCGAATATCTCGAGTCCAACTTCCACTACCGAATCACCTACAAGAAGGGGGCAAATAATATTGCCGATGCCTTTTCCCGCCCTACTGCCCATACAGCCGCCGTACTAATCGCCCAAGCTAACCTGCGGCTAACCAGACTGTTTACCCACGGCTACAATATGGATCCTCTCTTCACCTCTAACGGCCACCAGGCCCTCACCACTCAACGAGGCCACTACCACCTAAAAGCTGGTACTGACTGAGTTTGGGTTGTCCCACCTGCCAACTGATGAAATCCTCTCGTCAAAAGCCAGTTGGATTAATGCAACCGTTAGAACCGCCCACCAAGCCCTAGACACACGTGTCCATGGACTTCGTGACAGGAATGCCACCCGGCGCATCCCAAAATGATGGTATACTCGTGGTCGTTAACCAACTCACGAAAATGGCTCATTTCTCGCCATGTCGAACGACGCTCACAGCCAAACAAACCGCCAAGTTGTTAATCTCAATCATCGTTTACCTGCACGGAATCCTGAAGGCGATCGTGAGCAATCGTGACCACCGATTCACGTCCAACTTTTGGACAAAAATGTGGGAACAGTACGGTACACGTCTCCATCTATCAACGGCTTACCACCCACAGACCGATGGTCAGACTAAACGGACAAATCAGACCATGGAGCAGCTAATATGGACAACCTGTACTGAACCGACCCAATGGGAAGATTCCCTTCCCCTGATCGAGTTCGCATATAACAACACCCCTTCGTCAACGACTGCCCAATAACCGTTCTACCCAAAGTACGGTCTAAACCCCACGACTCCCACTACACCGTTAGTTGAGAGCCCTTCCTTACGATCACAATCGTTCGTCAAGGACTTACAGGCTGCACAGAAAAACGCTACCAAGGCCATTTCAAAAGCCAACCTTACGGCCAAACAGTACGCGGACAGGCATCGACAGGATTTACCCTTGTCTCCTGGGCAACTATTCCTTCTGGACACCAAGAATTTGGGGTTGAGTTTACCACATAAACTCCGTCTGAGATTTTGTGGGCCCTTCCGGATTGTCCGAATGGTGACACCTGTCACCGCCAAGTTACTATTACCAGACAACTGGCATATCCACGATTCATTCCACGTCAGTCTCCTTCGACAGTTCGTTGCAAACACGGCTGATCTCGGCCGTCAACGAATCTACCCTTTGATTAGCCCCGTCCCTGAGCCAACCACCGAACAACAGTAGATCCTCTCCCACCGAATCCGCCGAGACTAAGGTCAACGGGTTTTGGAATTTCTGGTTCGATGGGTTGTCCGTACGTGCGACAACGACATGTGGGTCCCAACTGCTACCCTCGACAACCACCTATTTACACGATCGGACTGCCCCAAATGTGGGTAGTCTCGTCTAGGAGGGAGAAAGGTGTAAGAAAAATCCATTTCCCTTATCGAGCCTCGCCAACATCGAGTACATCCCCGACTTTCGGAAGTCCAGTCTCGGGCCGACAGTTCAGATTCGAATTATGTTCGAGACCCCAAGCCTGCACGTGGCGTCGCGTCCGACACTTCCGAACCACATCGTGTGTGTTTCGTGGCCTTCCTCGAGGCTCTCTTGCTAGGCTAGCTGGGCTTGTATTTAGCCCTGTGCTTCATTTGTACTCGACACACTTTAATGACGACCTCACTATTGCATTACTCGACTCCTATCCGGAGATTACTGTATCAATACAAACTTCACGGAAGAACAAGGAAGTACAACTTTTAGATCGTCTAGTTCACGCGGAACTTACACGCAGCTTGAGCCTGTAAGCAGGAAAACGCTCCAACCCGGGCAATCGGGACATTGAAGGGGAAACCCAGCAGTAAAGACTGTCACTCGGTTACAAAGTCTCACCCATGCACTAGGTAATTTGCATGTGCGACCTCCTGGATCTGATTCTCGCCATTGTCGAAATACGACTTGACTGTTCGCTATCGTTCAGACAGCAGCCAATGAGGTTCAGCGTCAATGCAAGTCATGCTGAGACCTGGTAGGTGAGATTGCAATTTGGACTGTTCCGGGTGGGACAATCGAGAAAAACTAGTGTAGTTCGGTTCTGACGTTTCAGCAACTGGAAGTCTAAATCGACCGCTGGAAACAAAGTGGAAAGAGATTGTGGGAAAAACTTGGATTCATAACCGTCCGATGTAAACGACCAACCAAATGGATGTGCAAAACCTATCGCGAGCCAAATTCGCCCAAACCTGATTTTTGGTTTGGAAGTTTTGTCGAAACCAAAGGGCCTCGCCACCTGCGCTTCGTTTTCGTCCCTTTTTTTTCACCTCGCCTACCCCTTCCCCAGCCAAGTGTTAAACTCTAGTAATTATGAGATGGAGGCTTATCTGTCGTGGCTTATCTCCATAGCATCCGTATCTTATCTCCCTGTCGCGTGATAATCTGCTATCGAGGCCCCAGATTCCTTCGGCGTGTCGCATGCGTGTCGCTTGCTAAGCTGTCACAGGCTTGTCGCACACGCCGTCGCCATGTCGCAGCTGTCCGTCGTGCTTGCGACGGCGGGTTACGACCACACGATCCGATTCTGGGAAGCCACGTCGGGTCAATGCTACCGCACGATTCAGTACGCCGAATCGGTATGTTAGTCGCCGATACGGTACAATCAGTACGTCAGGCGTTGAGACACAAACAGTATGCTAGCCATGTATGTTTCGAGTTGGCTGAAATGCCACGTCGGGTCAATGATACCGCACGATCCAATACGCCGAATCGGTACGTCAGCCGTTGAGACGCGAACTGTATGCTAGCCGTTAAGAGCGTGTTCAGGACAATGCGTGTCGATGTGTTGGAGAAGACGACGCTGGCAAACCAGGGCGGCAGTTGGTCCCCTGCTTGCAGCCCTTCGTCGCGGGTCAGCAATCATTTCCACCCGTGTGATCATCCCGCTGTCAACCTGAGCCGAGCAGCGTGTGGGTCAATGGGGGAGATTTCAACGAGTACCTTGAAATCACCTCACCCCCACTCACCCCATCTTTCTCTGCCGTCTTTTCAAGGAGCGCCTGGGCCGCGCGTCTGTGGGTCGGCGCAACCCTCTGAAACTCGCCCATCTCTTCCCTGACGTCCCCTTTTTTCTTCTTTTTCTTTTTCTTTTTTTTCCCCTGCGCCAGAGCAGCAGCAGGTGAACCGCATGGAGTTAGTGCATGCCGGGCAGGGGATTTATCAACTACCAATAACCATATTTTTATCTATATATGCGAATCATCCCCTGCCTCCCCCCCTTTCCACCAGAGCAGCAGGCGAACCGCACGGAGATAATACCAGTCAAGGCACGAGGCATCTGATAAACCATCCTGATTCTCCCTCTTCCCCCTTTTCCTTATCATCAGCACTACACCCCCTCATTGCGCCAGAGCAGCAGCAGGCGAACGGCATGGAGATCATGCCGGTTCGATAGCCGTCATTATTTATCCCACATTGTCTGCTCTGCACCCCAATCCTAATCCCCCCCTTTCCCCCTCCCAGCCCCTCCCCTCCCCCCCCCCTCCCCCAAAGCGGTCCTTTGTATCCATTAGGAGCCTGTGTACAGAGCTAGGCAAATGGGTCGGGAACGTGCATGCATCCTAAACCTCTCTCCCTCCCCTGGCTAGCCTACGTTAGCTCCCCAGTGGGCTCCAAAATGATGAAGCAGTCCCCGAGGGACATGCCTTCGTCAGGCGCCCCAAGGACGGGCCCCTCGAGCGGGGAGGCTTCATTCACCTTGCCGAGGTATGAGAGGGCCTGCCCGCGCTAGAGGGTGACCGACCACCGCTGCCGAAACTGGTTGAGCAGCTTGGCGGCTTGGTACGAGCTCGGGTTCGCATTGAAGAGGCGGCGGGCGCCGGTATTGGCCAAGAGCTGTAGGAAAGCGGGCACCTCGGCACAGGGACACCCGTAGGTCTCCACGGCGAGGGGGAAGAAACCGACGTACGGCGCACGGTTGCGATAGTGGTCCATCTTCTTGTCTGCTTGCTCCCGCGCCATGTACCCCCTCCCTTTCCGCGCCAGGGGGTCGCGGCTGCTGATCGGGTCGGTGATGGTGACGTCACAGATCCATACAGCGCCCGAGTCTCGGTCCCGGATTGCCAGGTCGACAATCTGGTCGCCGATTGGGGTATAGGTGGCAGTTTCTTTCTCGACGATGAACTGTGCATCTCGCGCCATGCGGATGCACTCGTCCCGAAGAGCATTATGCGTGTCAGTGCGCCCGTGTCCTGTCCCACAGCTGAGCAGGTGGTTCGGGAGACGCGGGTCGGGGATTTCCACCCGCTTGGCGCAGTTGCAGACCCTTGGGACTGGGAAGGGGAGGCCCAGGTGAAAGGCTAGGGCGATCGCGAAGTGCGGGGGAGCGAGCCGGAGGGAGGGGAATAGGGGGATGGCCAGGAGCCAGTCCCCTGCGCCATACCTCGTGAGGGAGAAGAGGCGCTGCGTATGGCCGCTGTTGGGGTTGAGCGCCATGCTGCGGCTGGCCTCCACCTGGTCAGCATAGCGGGCTGCCTGGACCTCTAGAGAAAGGCGGTGCTGCAAAGGTACATCGGACGCCTCGGCTCATTCCGGCTGCAGGAGCTCAAGGGCACGTGGCGGAAGCATCGCTTCACACTCCGTCAGCCAGGTATGAAGGGTAGTGGGGCTAGTGAACGGAGGCGCCAAAGGCCGGAGGGCTTTTGTCAGAGGGCTAGTAGCCGCGGCGGGAAGAGAGGCCAGGAGGGCGTGAGCGCGGGTGGTGCTAGTCAGGAAGGAGTGCGGGCCTTCCACCGCTGGGTCTGTGAGGCCAAGGCCTCCTAGTGAGGGCGGAAGTGAAGCTTGGGCCCAGGTGCGAAGCTGCTCAGTTTCCCCTCGAGGCGTCTGCAGGCCACTTGCCCGCAGGAGCGTGTAGAAGAGGTCTTGCCCCCACCTGGACCACTCGGCTGTCGATAGCAGGTTCACTGGTGTCGTGCGCACGAGGTATGAGACTCGGCGCGAGATGCACCGGTGGAGCAGTATGGACACCACTTGCGGGTCCATAGTGGCTAGGACAGGTAAGGGAGACGCCATGGAGGCGAGCTGGGCCATAAGGAAGGTGGCGGCCCCCTCCGGCGGGCCGATGTGGCTGCCGAGTACTCGAAGGCCGTCCATGCGAAAGGGGATCTCCGGCGGCTTCCTTCGGGGGGCCGATGTGGCTGCCGAGTACTCGAAGGCCGTCCATGCGGAAGGAGAACTCCGGCGGCAGCAGGTGCGGCGCTGGTCGTGTCGCCGACCAGGCGGCACACTTGTTGGGGTTGTGCGTCAGGCCAAGGTCGGCGAGGGCGGCTGTGAAGTGTATAAAGGCGGAGGTGCAATCAGCAGGGTCGCCCAGGAAGGAGATGTCATCGGCGTAGGCGAGGCAGAGGACGGAGGGGTGGGCGTCCGCCGTGGCTCGAAGGGCGGGGTGGATAGCTGCGGCGAAGAGCAGCGGTCCGAGCGGGTCCCCCTGGCGGACTCCGCGCTCACTGAGGAGCGGAGGGCTATCAAACCCCGCGTCAAGCAGTAAATGCGATGGTTGGCCATAGGAGAACCTGACGAACGGCAGGAGGTGCTTGAGGGAAGTGCCAGCAAGCCCCACCACAATCTCCCTGCGATCGACGCCATGGAACGCGTTGGCGAGATCAACCTGGACAATCAGCGATTCTGGGGACTCCGAGGCAAAGGCGCGCGCGCCGTGAATAATGGCCTCGCCCCCTCCCGTGACAGCCACCCCGAATTGGAGAGGGAGGAAGTGGTTGCGGGCAGTCTCGGCTGAGGAGTAGAGAGCCGCTTTGCCCGCCAGGCGATAGATAGTTTCACCGATGGCGATGGGACTTGTGCCTCCTCCGGGCTTAGTCAGGGCGAGGAGGCGGAAGGCTGTGAGGAGGTCTGCTACGTCCTCGGGTAGATCACCCTTGAGCATGTTGTTAATGAGTGAGTGAAGTGTGGTGGCGACGGCTGGGTTGGCGAGGTCTGCATCGCGAAGGTGCTCGAACGTTGTGCCCGACGATCCTGGGCCAACACCTTTTTCGCAGGTACGTAGTAACGAGTCAAAATTTTCACGAGGGATTTGGACCGCAGCGCCAATGTCATCCTCGGAGGGCCACGCAATTGATGCGGTCAACGCTGGTGGGTGTTTTGATTTCAAAGCTTCGAGGGTCTCGGTAGTTGACTCCTGGACAGGCGATGACTCCAGTGCCAGCAGGGCACGCCGGAGGCTGCCACGTTGCGCGAGACCTTCCGCCCGAGATATCTTGCCGACGGTATCTGGGGTGTGACGTGGCAGCAGGGTGTTGTGGATCGAACCGATTGCTGCCCGGTAGAGTTCCTGCCATTCGCCACGCATGAACTGTTTCAAACGATCCTCCATGTGGGTCCAGTTTGGTCGCTTCGGGGAAGCGAGGCAGAGTGTCAGTCTTGGTATCAGGAGGAAGAGGCGCCAGCCGGCCAGCGGGGACCGTTTTTCGCCGAGATGCAACAGCGGCGTCAGTAACGCCAGAGCGAAAAGGGGGCGAAGTCTGGGGGGCAGCTTGCGGGATAACGGGGGCTGGCGACGTGCGACTGAGGAAGAAGAACAAAGGGACCGGACCTTCTTCCTCAGTTCCTCCCCTCCTCTCCTGCACCCTTAAAGCCCGTGCAGCTGCCTGCTGGTAGCCATTGGCCGGTCCACCGTCGCTCTGCCGTCTCCTGCGCCCGCGTCCTCGTCCTCCCGCTCCGTGCGCCCTCTGCCCGCATCTACGAGCCGCGGGAGACCTCCCCGCCGAGTCACTCACGGCCCGGCTCATCGCCCTTGTTCTGGGCGTCGAGTTGCGCGAGTCCACCGGCGCCGCGGCCGCGCCCATTACAAGCGGCGATGGCGCAATCGCGAGCCACCGCCCCCGATCTCCATCCGCGTCGTGAGCGATCAGCCGGTCTTGAGAGCTCGGGGGAGTGCGCCTCCCCCCCCCAAGGTCCGGCAAAGCTGCCGGCCGATCACTCAGACATGCGGTGGGAGCGCGGGCTCCTCGCCACTGCGGAGAACCACCCTGCGTCGCCGGACCAGGCGAGCGTCGGGGCGGGGAGTCGCACGTCGACCCCACTGCGTCGCGGGGACCGCTCAAAGACCCCGCCGCCCGGCCGCAGCTCCGCTCCTCTGGCGTGGGCGCTGCTGCGACGGGCTGTGTCACGTCCTCTGTCGCCCGTCCTTCAGCCGCAACCGTCGCGGAGGGGGGAACCCCTCCGGCAGCATGCTGGTCGTCATGAGTCGCCTCGCCGCCGTCTTCAAGCGACGGTGCCCCCCCCACAGCAGCCTCGCCACGTGGCTGGGCGTGACCGCGCCGGGCAACGGCGGGGTTGGCGCGGTGGGAAAGCTCATCGCGGGGCGAACAGTCGCGAGGCCGCCGTCCTGCAGCAGACCCTCGCTCGGAATACGGCCGCGCTCGAGAGCCTGTGCACCCACATGCAGGGGACCCCGGCGATGCATCACCCGGCTGCTGCCCCCCCTGCTGACGCACGTGTCCTGCCTCCCCCTGCGGCGCCGGCGGATCTTGTGCCGTGTCCGACGGCGCACCCCCAACCTCCCTCAGTCGCCGCGGCGAGTTTTCGTCCTCGTCCTCCGCCCCTTGCTGTGCCGAATCCCCGTTCCGCATACCAGCAGCAGGTCCCGCCTGGGCGCCTCCCCTCTCTGTCATAGCAGACCTTGCCGTCATGGCAACTGCCTCCGCCCTTGTCGTCCGCCCCGCCGTGGCTGGAGCCACAGCAGCCGCCACCTCCGCCATTGTTCTCTGGCCCGGGTGCCTATGGTCCATTCGTCCCCCCCGTCAACGGCTCCCATCGCGGACTGGAGTTGAGGCGGGGGCAGCGTCAGCGGAGATGGGGGGGGCGGAGTCCTCAGGCGAGGGCTCCCCTCCTGGCCACGGCTCCGTGGGCCAGCGCCGGACTGGCGGGGTGCGGATTCCGCCCAGGGTTCGGGTCGACCGCCTTCGGCGCGTGGAGCGGATGGTGGCGATTCCAGCCGCCACGCTCCGCCGCTTTGGGCACTTGGGGACGGCGACAGGGAAGGTGGCTGGGATGCTCGCCGCTGCGCACTCTGCACTGCGTGGCACAGTGAATCCGTGGACGCTTTCCCACATTTCCCTCCAGAACTGCTCAGACGCATCAGATGATCTGATGGTTCTATTTGGGCGTGCGCTGCCAGCACCCGCCCCGGGAAGTGGCATGGACCGCGGGGTTGTCGCAGTGATGAAAGCAGTTGCGGGGAGCTTACATTCGGCGTCAAGCGTAGACCTTGCTGGCGCCTGCGCGTTAGTGTTACAATGCGTGGAGCGACTTCTGGCCGGTTTACTGGCGACGGCGGGGGAGGAGGACGACGGGTGATTGGCACCCGCCGCCTATATGTGCGTGGAGGCGACCCTCTGTCGAGCGTGAGGGCTCCAGTGAGTTGGATCAGAGTCTCCATTGGGAGTGATTGTTCGGGTACTTTGCAGGGCCTGTCCTAGAGCTGGAGGGGCTGCATCACGTATGCCTTGTACTCGCTGCTTTATATTGATTGCTGTGCTTGCCACCCCCTCACGCGCTGCCGAAGGCCGCCGACGCGAGCCGACACCAAGGGTAGGAGGAAGAATAACTGGAAACTAAACAAGAAGAATGAGGCAGGGAGAGGCCTTAAGTAGAGAGGGAAAGACTCAGGCTCTCTCTCTCTCGCTCTCTCTCTCTCCTCTCTCTGCGACACCAAGGGTAGGAGGAAGAATAACTGCGACACTCCTCCTCCCCCCCTCTCCCTCCTTCCTCTCCCCCCCCCCCATCTGCACCAGGCAAGAGATTTCAATAGCCTTATTTATCCCCGCTCCCCCTGCTCGCTACTGCCCTCCGCCCGCCCCCCCCAGTTTGCAGCAGAGCAGCAGGTGAACCGCGTGGAGATCATGCTGCCAGACAAGGCGTTTCAACTTTCAATAGCCGCCTTGGTTAATCGCCATACCCCCCTCCTCCCTCACCTATCTGGACCAGAGCAGCAGGTCAACCGCGTGGAGGTCATGCCAGACAAGGTGTTCCAAAAGCCGTTGTTCATCCCCATACTCCCCCATCCCTTCCCCCTCTCCCCCCCCTTCTCCCCCCCTTCCCCTCCCCCCTTGCACCAGAGCAGCAGGTGAACCGCATGGAGATCATGCCGGACAAGAGATTCCTTGCTGCGGCTGGCAACCCCCACATCCGGCTGTTCCAGATCGACTCCAATCAACCACAACCGGTGTGTGCTGCTGTTTAATGAACCGCACGCATTTTGCATGTACGAGTCGTGAGTCATGAGTCTTGACACGAGAGATAGGTGCTGCGGCTGGCAATCCCCACTTCTGGCTATTCCAGATCGAATCCAACCAACCACAACCGGTGCGTGCACATTCTTACAGTGTTCGTTGAGATGCCTCAAGACTCTTTGCTCGTAGCCATTGGAAACCCGCACGTCAGCCTTGTCTAGATCGACTCCAACCAACCACAACCAGTGCATGCGCATTCTTACTATGTTTGTTGAGATGAGATGAGTCAACTCAAGGCTCGTTCTTTGTAGCTGTTCAAAACCCGCACATCGGGCTCTTCCTGATCGACGCCACTCCTTACCCGCTCCTCCCTCTTCTCCCCCTTCTCCCCCCCCCTCTCCTCCCCACCATCATTCGTCCTGCCCCCATCACCGCAGGTCATGAGCTATGACGGCCACACCAACAACGTGACGGCAGTGGGCTTTCAGTGCGATGGGCGGTGGATGTACTCCGGCTCTGAGGACGGCACAGTCAAGATCTGGGACCTCAGGTATCAACACATGCACATATGCGCATCTGCACGGTCAGGCATATGCGCATCACGGACTTGTAAGCTGTTTCAACCCAGGCAGTGAGAGACACAGATGACTCGATGCCGTTTAGGCCTTCAGTGCGCTGGGCCGTGGGCCGTGGATGCACTCAGGGGCTGAGGATGGCGCAGTGAAGCTATGGGACCTCTCAGGTAGTGACGCATCCGTGCAGGTGGTGAAGGAGGGAGGTGGCTTTCAGCCTCTCACTGCGGTTCGAGGTGGATGTACCCTTGTTTGAGTCGACTCAAAAGTCTACTCGGGGTCTGAGGACGGCACAGTCAAGATCGGGGCCCTGAGGTATTGGGGTTGGAGGGCATGCGTACAGGTGGGTGAGTGGATACACAATGACATATAGCATGGATGGCTTTCAGTGCGATGGGCGGTGGCTGTACGGCGTTGAGGTTGGTACAGGAGTTCAGTCTGATGATACATGACATGGGCGGTGGCTGTACGGAGTTCAGTCTGATGATACATGACATGGGCGGTGGCTGTACGGCGTTCAGTCTGATGATACATGACATGGGCGGTGGCTGTACGGCGTTCAGTCTGATGATACATGACATGGGCGGTGGCTGTACGGCATTCAGTCTGATGATACATGACATGGGCGGTGGCTGTACGGCGTTCAGTCTGATGATACATGACATGGGCGGTGGCTGTACGGCGTTCAGTCCGATGATACATGCCATGAGACCTCACGTCTCAAGTCAGGAGTTTAGATGCAACTTGGAAGTTCGGGTACAGCTAGGGTACTCCTGTGTTCCATGCCTCCCTTGCTCCTTCGCCCCACCAGTAGTCCCATTGGCATAGCGGCTGTCAGAGAGAACCAACGCTATGCCAACGGAACTGCTGAGGCGAGCAACAGGGAACACAGTGGTGGTGCTGCACCCCAACCAAACGGAGCTCATATCTTCCCGTCTCCTCCGTCTCTCCTCCCCTCCTCCCCTCCTCCCCTCCTCCCCTTCTCCCCTTCCATCAGAGCCCCACCGCTACACCAACGAGACTACGAGAGCAGAGCAGCAGTGAACACGGTGGCGCTGCACCCCAACCAGACGGAGCTCATGTTCGTCCTCTCCTGCCTTGCTGCTTCCCCTCCTTCATAACAGAGCCCCACCGCTATACCAACGGGATTATGAGAGCCGAGCAGCGGTGAACACGGTGGTGCTGCACCCTAACCAGACAGAGCTGATATCGGGCGACCAGAATGGCAACATCCGAGTGTGGGACCTCACAGCCAACGCGTGCAGCTGCGAACTGGTGAGTGTGGCATGAGTAAGAATGAGACAACGCATGTCAAAGTGAGTCAGCGAGTGTCAAAGTGAGTCAGCGAGTGTTAAAGTGAGCCAGCGTGTGTCAAAATGAGTCAGCGTGTGTCACAGTGAGTCAGCGTGTGTCTAAGTGAGTAAATGCGTGTCAATATGTGTGACCCTTTTGGTACCAGAGGTGGACCCGGCAATCCGGTCAGTGGCAGTGATGTGGGATATCAGCATGGTGCTGTGCTGTGTGGTGTGGTGCGGTGTGCCGTGTGCCGTGCCGTGCCCTATCCATACTGCTAGACGTATCTGCTCCCCACTGCAATCCGGAGGTACCGGAGGTGGACTCTGCTATACGGTCAGCGGCATTGTGGGATGGCAGCATGGCGGCGCCATTCTCTTAGTCTCCACTCCAACACTCGCACTCTCTTTCCCTCCCATTCACCCTCCAGGTGCCTGAGGCTGACACCACGATACGATTAGTGGCATCAGTGATGTGGGACGTCAGCATGGTGTGGTTCTGTGCTGTGCTCTCAGCTCTTGCCTCACTTACGTTTTTCCTCTCCATGCGATCGCCCCGATCACCCCTCAGGTGCCAGAGGTGGACGCGGCGATAAGATCAGTGCAGTGATGTGGCACGGCAGCATGGTGGCGCCATTCTCGTTACCCCCCGACATCTGAGCCCTCCTCTGCTCCCACTCCTCAGGTACCGGAGGTGGACACCGCGATAAGATCGGTGGGAGTGATGTGGGACGGCAGCATGGTAGTGGCAGCGAACAACAAGGGCACGTGCTTTGTGTGGCGACTCACCTCAGGCTCACAGGTATGTGTGTGTGGGATGGGGGCGGTGAAAGTGTGTATGTGTGTATGTGTTGGTGCAGATGTGTGTATGTGTTTTTGTGGGGCGAGTGTGCATTGGGGTGTTTCTAACGGCAGCAGCATGGTGGTGGCAGCATGGTGGTTGCAGCATGGTGGTTGCAGCATGGTGGTTGCAGCATGGGTGGTTGCAGCATGGTGGTGGCAGCTGACAACAAGGGCACGTGCCGTGTGCGGTGAGTCATCTCGGGCTCGCACGAATGTGTGTGGGAGTGTGCAACGATTGACACTTGTTGAATCAAAACAGCATGGAGGCCGCAGCAAAGAACACAGGCACGCGCTTTGTGTGACGGCAAAGAGCCCGACTCACCTCAGGCTCACGGGCTTGCGAGTGTGGGGGAGGGGGGAGGGGGGGGTAGAGGCGTTTATTTAGGCGGAAGCATGTGCTAGGTAGCTGCTAACTAGGGCGTGTGCTTCATCTGGCGCAGAACAGCTACGTGCTCACGTGCCCGCTCTCTGCTCTCGCACACCCTACCTACCTCCTGTACCCCTGTACCCCATTCAGACAGCAGCCAGCTTCGAACCTCTGCACAAGCTACAGGCGCACAACAGCTATGTGCTCAAGTGCCTGCTCTCTCCTGAATTCTCTGACCCCAACAGGTGTGCTGCTGCTGCTGTTAGCAGGTGTGCTGCCACCAGAGCTGCTTTTTCTGCAGTGGTGTCCTTTTGTGCGATCTCTGATGCCATGTCATGTCGTGTCGTGTCGTGTCGTGTCGTATCGTGTCTTGTTATGGCTTGCATTTTTGTGCCTACTTCTTTTCCTTGTCTTTCTTTGCTAGTCCCACATCTTTCTGGCTTCCCTTTACCTCTTTTACCTACGATATTCTTGTGAGCACCCCCCCCCCCCTTCTCCCCCCCTTCTCCCCCCCTTCTCCCCCCCTTCTCCCCCCTTCTCCCCCCCTTCTCCCCCCCTTCTCCCCCCCTTCTCCCCCCCTTCTCCCCCCCTTCTCCCCCCCTTCTTGCTCCCTTATTCCTGTTCAAAAGGTACCTCGCTACAGCATCGGCAGACGGCACAGTGAAGATATGGAATGCGGATGGTTTTACCCTAGAGAGAACGCTTACAGGTAAATCTAATGTTCTACAGCCTACAGTGCTACAGCCTACAGTGCTACAGCCTACAGTGCTACAGCCTACAGTGCTACAGCCTACAGTGCTACAGCCTACATTGCTACAGCCTACAATGCTACAGCCTACAGTGCTACAGCCTACAGTGCTACATCCTACAGTGCTACTGCCTACAGTGCTACAGCCTACAGTGCTACAGCCTACAGTGCTACAGCCTACAGTGCTACTGCGTGCAGAGCGGTTTTGCGAATTTGCAGCTCTTTGTCGAAGCACATGTACTTCCACGGTCGTAGCAAGTATCAGCGCAATAACACGCACTATAAGTTGCACTGCTTTGGCCCCTTTGTATGTGCTCCTGTGTCTCTCCCGTTGCCCCCTTCCGCGCTATTATTCCATCACATGTCCCCCCCACCCCCCCCAACCCCCCCAAACCCCCCCACATGGCCCCAACCCGTGATTTGCCATCACACCCCTACATCCCACACCTCACACACACCACGCCCCACCACCACCATCTTTCCTCTACCTCTCCCTTCAGTTTTGAGACATCTCAAAACTAAATCACTGTCACACGAATCGCGTATTCCACCACCACAATCGCCCTTCCTGCACCTCTCCTTTCCTCTCATCCTCTCCCCATCACCCTTTTGAAGCGCCTCAAAAGCCATCCTCTCCCCATCACCCTTTTGAAGCGCCTCAAAAGCCATCCTCTCCCCATCACCCTTTTGAAGCGCCTCAAAAGCCATCCTCTCCCCATCACCCTTTTGAAGCGCCTCAAAAGCCATCCTCTCCCCATCACCCTTTTGAAGCGCCTCAAAAGCCATCCTCTCCCCATCACCCTTTTGAAGCGCCTCAAAAGCCATCCTCTCCCCATCACCCTTTTGAAGCGCCTCAAAAGCCATCCTCTCCCCATCACCCTTTTGAAGCGCCTCAAAAGCCATCCTCTCCCCATCACCCTTTTGAAGCGCCTCAAAAGCCATCCTCTCCCCATCACCCTTTTGAAGCGCCTCAAAAGCCATCCTCTCCCCATCACCCTTTTGAAGCGCCTCAAAAGCCATCCTCTCCCCATCACCCTTTTGAAGCGCCTCAAAAGCCATCCTCTCCCCATCACCCTTTTGAAGCGCCTCAAAAGCCATCCTCTCCCCATCACCCTTTTGAAGCGCCTCAAAAGCCATCCTCTCCCCATCACCCTTTTGAAGCGCCTCAAAAGCCATCCTCTCCCCATCACCCTTTTGAAGCGCCTCAAAAGCCATCCTCTCCCCATCACCCTTTTGAAGCGCCTCAAAAGCCATCCTCTCCCCATCACCCTTTTGAAGCGCCTCAAAAGCCATCCTCTCCCCATCACCCTTTTGAAGCGCCTCAAAAGCCATCCTCTCCCCATCACCCTTTTGAAGCGCCTCAAAAGCCATCCTCTCCCCATCACCCTTTTGAAGCGCCTCAAAAGCCATCCTCTCCCCATCACCCTTTTGAAGCGCCTCAAAAGCCATCCTCTCCCCATCACCCTTTTGAAGCGCCTCAAAAGCCATCCTCTCCCCATCACCCTTTTGAAGCGCCTCAAAAGCCATCCTCTCCCCATCACCCTTTTGAAGCGCCTCAAAAGCCATCCTCTCCCCATCACCCTTTTGAAGCGCCTCAAAAGCCATCCTCTCCCCATCACCCTTTTGAAGCGCCTCAAAAGCCATCCTCTCCCCATCACCCTTTTGAAGCGCCTCAAAAGCCATCCTCTCCCCATCACCCTTTTGAAGCGCCTCAAAAGCCATCCTCTCCCCATCACCCTTTTGAAGCGCCTCAAAAGCCATCCTCTCCCCATCACCCTTTTGAAGCGCCTCAAAAGCCATCCTCTCCCCATCACCCTTTTGAAGCGCCTCAAAAGCCATCCTCTCCCCATCACCCTTTTGAAGCGCCTCAAAAGCCATCCTCTCCCCATCACCCTTTTGAAGCGCCTCAAAAGCCATCCTCTCCCCATCACCCTTTTGAAGCGCCTCAAAAGCCATCCTCTCCCCATCACCCTTTTGAAGCGCCTCAAAAGCCATCCTCTCCCCATCACCCTTTTGAAGCGCCTCAAAAGCCATCCTCTCCCCATCACCCTTTTGAAGCGCCTCAAAAGCCATCCTCTCCCCATCACCCTTTTGAAGCGCCTCAAAAGCCATCCTCTCCCCATCACCCTTTTGAAGCGCCTCAAAAGCCATCCTCTCCCCATCACCCTTTTGAAGCGCCTCAAAAGCCATCCTCTCCCCATCACCCTTTTGAAGCGCCTCAAAAGCCATCCTCTCCCCATCACCCTTTTGAAGCGCCTCAAAAGCCATCCTCTCCCCATCACCCTTTTGAAGCGCCTCAAAAGCCATCCTCTCCCCATCACCCTTTTGAAGCGCCTCAAAAGCCATCCTCTCCCCATCACCCTTTTGAAGCGCCTCAAAAGCCATCCTCTCCCCATCACCCTTTTGAAGCGCCTCAAAAGCCATCCTCTCCCCATCACCCTTTTGAAGCGCCTCAAAAGCCATCCTCTCCCCATCACCCTTTTGAAGCGCCTCAAAAGCCATCCTCTCCCCATCACCCTTTTGAAGCGCCTCAAAAGCCATCCTCTCCCCATCACCCTTTTGAAGCGCCTCAAAAGCCATCCTCTCCCCATCACCCTTTTGAAGCGCCTCAAAAGCCATCCTCTCCCCATCACCCTTTTGAAGCGCCTCAAAAGCCATCCTCTCCCCATCACCCTTTTGAAGCGCCTCAAAAGCCATCCTCTCCCCATCACCCTTTTGAAGCGCCTCAAAAGCCATCCTCTCCCCATCACCCTTTTGAAGCGCCTCAAAAGCCATCCTCTCCCCATCACCCTTTTGAAGCGCCTCAAAAGCCATCCTCTCCCCATCACCCTTTTGAAGCGCCTCAAAAGCCATCCTCTCCCCATCACCCTTTTGAAGCGCCTCAAAAGCCATCCTCTCCCCATCACCCTTTTGAAGCGCCTCAAAAGCCATCCTCTCCCCATCACCCTTTTGAAGCGCCTCAAAAGCCATCCTCTCCCATCACCCTTTTGAAGCGCCTCAAAAGCCATCCTCTCCCCATCACCCTTTTGAAGCGCCTCAAAAGCCATCCTCTCCCCATCACCCTTTTGAAGCGCCTCAAAAGCCATCCTCTCCCCATCACCCTTTTGAAGCGCCTCAAAAGCCATCCTCTCCCCATCACCCTTTTGAAGCGCCTCAAAAGCCATCCTCTCCCCATCACCCTTTTGAAGCGCCTCAAAAGCCATCCTCTCCCCATCACCCTTTTGAAGCGCCTCAAAAGCCATCCTCTCCCCATCACCCTTTTGAAGCGCCTCAAAAGCCATCCTCTCCCCATCACCCTTTTGAAGCGCCTCAAAAGTCATCCTCTCCCCATCACCCCCCCCACATGCCACCCACGCAGGCCATGCAAGATGGGTGTGGGATTGCGTATTTTCCATCGATGGGGCCTACCTCGTATCAGGTGCATGCTCACTCTAACCATTTTTAGGTGTCAGGCCGCAAATTGTGTGTGTGTGTGTGTGTGTGTGTGTGTGTGTGTGTGTGTGTGTGTGTGTGCGTGCGTGCGTGCGTGCGTGCGTGCGTGCGTGCGTGCGTGCGTGTGTGTGTGTGTGTGTGTGTGGGGGGGGGGTGTGTGTGTGCGTGTGTGTGCGCGCGCGTGCATGCATGTGTTTGAGAATGTGTGTGGATTATTCCGCACTCGGTGTTGTGTGTGTGAGAGAGGGAGATTACGTATGCAGGCAGCAACTGGCGACGGTGTGAGAGTATGACGTGCATCCATACTCATACTCCTCCCTCCCTTCCTCCCTCCCATTCCCCCCTCCCACACCCCCCCCGGCCCCCCTCACAGCGCCATCTGATTGCACATCTCACCTGTGGGAGCTTAGTGGGTAGCTGTGAGAGGGCACCAGGGGGCCATGCAAGCATGCCTGCGCTCTCCCCTGCCCGCGATCACCTCTCCGCGTTGCCCATCCCTGCAGCTGCATCTGTCGGCACATCTTGCCTGTGGCAGCTGACCCGAGGCAGCTGTGCGTGACAGTGCATCATCAGGGGCACATGCATGCTCACACTCCCCTCTACCACCGACCCTCCCCTCTCCCCTCTCCCCTCTCTCCTCTCCCCTCAACCCTCCCCCACACAGCATCGTCAGACGGCACGTCTCGCCTGTGGGAGCTGGCCAGCAGCAACTGGGTGAGAGGCACCTGACACTTCCCCCTCCTTCCCCTCCCCCCCCCCTTGTAATCCCCACAGCATCGTCAGACGGCACGTCTCGCCTGTGGGAGCTGGCCAGTGGGAACTGCGTGCGGGTGTACCAGGGGCACCAGAAGGCTGTTGTGTGCTGTGCTCTGAATGACGGCACGGACCTCCCGCCCTCGTGACAGGGCAATATGGCACTGATAGACAGCAAGCAAACCAGAGGAGCAACTGAGTGAGTGTGTAGTGTGCCAGGGGCACCAGAAGACCGTTGTGTGCTACTGTGCCCTGAATGACGGCACTGACCTGACCTCCTAAAGCAGGACATGCTTCGCATTCCGTGCAGTGGAGCATCTGTGCAGGTGTACCAGGTGTCAAAACATATATGTACATGTCTTATAGGCTAGATAGGTGCGTACTCTCAGAGAGTACAATCCCTTAGCACAAAAGCACCTTGTATCTCTCATTCTAGTTAACTTTCTAACTCTGAGATGGTATCATGCGCTAGGTTAGGTCCTCCCCGCCCACCCACGCTTCCGCCCTAGTCTTAGCCCTAGCTGTCAAACATATATTGTTATGTTTGTATAGATTGTCTAGGTTTGTGTCTTAGAGGGTACAGCGTCTAGGTTATATTACCTTGTACTCTCCCTTTCTAGTCAATTCTTCCATTCTAACATGGTATCATGAGTAGGTTAGGTTCCTCCCGCCCACCAGGGCTTCCGCCCTAGGTCCTACCCGCCCGTTCCCCCTAGCTTGCCCGCCCCGTCGCCGGCACCGCGTCCGCCCCTAGCCGGCCTCTCGTTTGCCCTGTCGCCGGCCCGGGTCCGCCCCTAGCCGGCCCCACGTTCGCCCCGTCGCTGGCCCCGTGTTCGCCCCGTAGCCGGCCCCGCGTCCGCCCCTAGCCGGACCCGCGTTCGTCTCGTAGCCGGCCCCGCGTCCGCCCCGTAGCCGGCCCCGCGTCCGCCCCTAGCCGGCCCCGCGTTCGCCCCGTAGCCGGCCCCGTGCCCGCCTCGTAACCGGCCTCGCGTCCGCCCCTAGCGGGCCCCGCATTCGTTTCGTAGCCGGCCCCGCGTCCGCCTCGTAGCCGGCCCCACGTCCGCCCCTGCGGCCCCGCGACCAGTCCTCTAGCGGCCCCTCGGCCTCGTCTAGCGGCCCCGCGGCCCCGTCCCCTAGCGGCCCCTCGGGCCCGTCTGCCAGCCGCCCCGCGGACCCGTTCCCTAGTGGCCCCGTCCCCTAGCGGCCCCTCGGCCCCGTCAACCAGTGGCCCCGCGGCCCCGTCCCATAGCGGCCCCTCGGCCCAGTCGACCAGCGGCCCCGCGGCCCCGTCGACCAGCAGCCCAGTGGCCTGCCGCCCGTCCGTTCCCCGACTCCGCGCCCGTCCGTCACCCCCCCCCCCCGCCCGTCCATCACCGGCCTCCGCGCCCGTCCGTCACCGGCCCTGCGCCCGTCCGTTTTGCCAGCCCCGCGCCCGCCCTGTCCCCGGCCCGCGCGCCTGCGCTGCATCCGACTACGCTGCACCGCACTGTACCGCACTGCACCACACTGCACCCCTTTGCACCGCACTGCACCGCACTGTACCGCACTGCACCGCACTTCGCCGCACTGTACCGCATTGCACCGTACTGCATCGCACTGTACCGCACTGCACCGCACTGCACTGCACTGTACTGCACTGCATCCACTGCGCCGCACTGCACCGCAGCTGCATCGCTCCTGATGGCGGACTCTGTACTACGGTTTGACGCGGAGGGTCAGCCGATCGAGTTTGACACGTGTCTCGTCGACCTCCGCCGTCACCTCACAGGTCAGCGTCAGGACGGCCACTCCTTGGCCGTCCACCTTGATGGTACACTCCCCTGTCCTGACCCCCCCGCTCCGCTGCCCGCTGATCCCACGTCTGCTGATCGAGAGTCCGCTGCTGCTGCTGCTGCCCTTGCCCGCTCGGTCTGGTTGTCGCGTGACACTGTTGCACAGCTTGCCATTAGTCATGCGCTTCCCCTGTCTGAGCGCCCCCGCTTTAGGTCTATCGAGACTGCACAGGAGTTCCTCGATGCTGTCCATACTCGCTATTCCACCCTGTCCTCTGCCTCCGTAGGCCGCCTGATCTTGCCCCTGCTTTTCCCTGATCTCGCGTCCTTCCCCACTGTCGCTGACCTAGCCGCCCACTTGCGCACGCTAGACTCGACCTGGCGCTCGACTTGCACTGAGGCCCAGCTCCGCGTCTTTCAGCCCCCTCTCCCGCATGCCCTCTACCTGCTTGTCACCCGCCTCCCTGACCACCTTGCCACTGCGCGCGATCCCTTTCTCAGTGCACACCCCGCAGACCTCACCCTCACTGACTTTGTTGACACCCCGCAGGCGCTTGCGCCTAAAGATCATCAGCGGCACTGTGTACAGCTAGGTCTTGTTCTTGTAGCCTCTCACTTGCTAGGGCCTTGACTGTGTACAGACCTTTTATATAATATATTCTGACTGGCCTTGTGGCCTCTTCCAGTGGCTGGACTAGTAGTGCCGCCCTGGTTTTGCTTTTGGCTTGTGTCTGTACTCGTTTGACTGGTCTTTAGACCCTTGCCTCAGAGGTCGAACTAGTAGTGCCACCCTGAGCTGCTCGTTCTCTCGTTAGGAACAGCTTTTATACAGTCCAGGGGGTGTGTCAAGCATATATTGTTATGTTTGTATAGACTGTATAGGTTTGTGCCTTAGAGGGTACAGCTTCTAGGTTATATTACCTTGTACTCTCCCTTTCTAGTCAATTCTTCCATTCTAACACTAGCCGCCCGTTTCTAGCTGCCCGTTTTGTGCCGCCCATCGCCGCCAGCAGCCTGTAGCTACTGGCCGCCCGTAGCCGCCAGCCGACCATAGCCGCCAGCAGCTCGTAGCCGCCAGCCGCTCGCTGGCCCCTACTCGCCAGCCCCGCGCCCGCTGGCCCCGTTCTCGCTGGCCCAGCGCTCGCCAGCCCCACGCTCGCCAGCCCCGCGCCAGCTGGCCCCGAGCTCGCCAGCCCCGCGCCCGCTGGCCCCGTGCTCGCGGGCCCCACGCTCGCCAGCCCCGCGCTTCCTGGCCCCGCGCTCGGCAGCCCCGCGCCCACTGACCCCTCCTCCCCTTGTCAGCGGCAGTCCGTTGCTGCAGTCGTGGTGATGGCGGACTCACTGCTCCGCCTGGATGTGGAGGGTCAGGCCGTTAAGTTTGAGGCGTGGCTCGTCGACCTCCGCCACCAGCTGACCGGGCAGCGCCCGGACGGCCACTCCCTGACCGTTTATGTCGACGGTAAGCTCCCTAGCCCCACCCCGCCTGCTGCCCTCCCTGCCGCCCCCACGTTCGCTGAGCGTGAGGCCTTTGTTGTTGCCGATGTTGCCTGTGCTGTCTGGGACTAAGAACTAAATTAACTAGGCTATAAACAAATATAACCTAACTAAGCTTCATAAATATATTTGTTGACACACCCCCTAGCCTAGATAGTGGTAGTTCATAAAAAAAGGCAGAGTACACCAGGGCAGCGCTACTAGTCTGACCTCTGGTGCGGGCAACAAGGCAACTCAGGGCAGCACTACTAGTCTGACCACTTAGGCAAGAGGCCACAAGGCCAGTCAACAAGTGTAGCAAGACAAGCAGGTATAGAATAACAAGTACAAGCACGTATAATTTTACTAAGGATACAAGAATGGTGCTGCTATGGAGACGAGACCAAGCTTAGTACAGAACCGCTGATGGTCACGAGGCGCAAGTGCCTTGGTGAAGATATCAACGGTGTTGGCCTCTAAGGCCAACCGTACCACTCGAGCCTGGTCGCGCTGCTGCAACTCACGCAGCATGAAGTACCGCAGCTGGATGTGCTTCGCCGTGCCCTCAAGTTGAGCCTCCTGACACAGAAGGATCATGGCCCTATTGTCAGCAAACAGGACCGGGGCAGACCTAGGCTACTCACCTAAGTCAGTGAGCAAGAATGTCAGCCAGCGGAGCTCCTGAGCGGCCATAGCCCCAGCGTAGATCTCTGCCTCACAACTGCACTGAGCTACAGACGACAACCTGGTGGACCTCCAAGAGACTGCACCAGCTCCAAGACTAAATCAGTAGCCCTGAGACGACCTGAGCGTCTCCACGTCGTCAGCCCACGACGCGTCTGTGTGTCCAAAGAGCACCACTAGCTCCCGTCAAATGGCACAAGCCCCAATCCTGATGTAATCGCCAGATACCGCAGTACCCTCTTGGCAACTGACCAGTGGACTGGTCGTTGCCTGCCTGTCGCAACAAAGTGAGCCAAGAGATTGAGAGGGTACGCTAGATCTGGTCGAGTGCAGATCATCAGGTACATAAGACACCCCACCAGCTCTGCGTATGGACCAGTAGCCTCGATCGGCTCAGCCGGAACAGGAACACAGAGCTTGAGATCCACAGGCAGAGGAGTGAGTTGTGCTGAGGACAACTGGAGACTGAACCTCTGGAGGATGTGCTGCACCATATGGGCCTTGGAGAGTGTGATCGTGCGAGCAGCATGGTCACGAGAGATCTCCAAGCCCAGATATCGCCTCAGCTCCCCCAAGTCTGTATAGGTGTGTCTCCTAAGTAACTCGGCCTTCACTGAGGCCAGTGCCACTCTGTCAGGAGTGGCAAAGATAAGATCGTCTACGTACACTAGAATATAGAACGGTGTCTGACCTGTGCAAACAAACAGAGAGGGGTCAGCAGAGGACGGAAAGAACTGCAGCTCAGCAAGAGTGGTGCAAAGCGTGTCATGCCACTCACAGGGTGCCTGACAAAGATCGTAGACAGGAGGGTGCAGGCTCCACTCGGTCCCAGAGAAGGACCTAGAGAAGCCTAGAGGGCACCGGACATAGGTCTGCTCGTGCAGACTACCCTGCAGGAATGCTGTGGAGAAGTCGGGTGAGTGAAGCTCGTAGTCACACTGCGCAGCTATGTGAAGAAGGACCCGAAGAGTAGTAATCTTCGGGGTCGGAGTGAAGGTCTGGAAGAAGTCCACACCCTCACGCTGACTGACGCCTCTAGCCACGTAATAAGCCTCTAGCCTCGAGAGCGCCTGGGTCGCCCTCTGGGGATACAAGCATGGAGCAGAGATGGGGAATAGTGGCAACAAGGTAGGCCAAATCGTACTGCCTGTCCTCTAGCACGTCACTGCCAAGGGCAGGTGCACCCCCGACGGACGGAGGACGGGCAGTACCAGAGACCAGAGCTGCAGCGTAGTCAAGGCGATGGCTAGCAGCGAAGTCAGTGACAGCAGCGACAAGCGCAGAGACAGACTCACGAGGAGCGGTAGAGTTAGTGACAAGCAACGCAAGCAAGTGCGAGAGGGTAGGACAAGCAAGGAGAGACGACGGGGGAGGCAACGGGAGGACTCTGACAGGAGGAGCACGTGAACGAAGAACCATAGGGTGGACATTAGGACGAGGAGAGACAGAACGAGCACCAGAAGGGCGACAGACCCAGTTGGGAAAAACTGGGGACTAGGGACGAGGGGGGACGGGGGACAAGTCTGGGGACGGAGGGGAGAGCGGGGGAAAACGATCTGGAGAGGAGTCCGAAGGAGGGAACTGCGGGCCGTAAACAGGGTCACGCACCGGAGGGGGAACGGCGGGGAGACAGGGGAACCTAGAGCAAGACCAAGGACACGAAGGGC